GAAAACTAGGATTGAGAATTTAATTGGAGCTAAATGGATGTTTCTGGCTTTCATAAGGGCACCTGATTCTCAACAAGGCACTGTCCTGGATTCAGGACATCCACTTTGACACTAACTAGGTCATTTTGGGACTAACATATGGTCAAGAGAGAGAGAGAGAGAGATAGGGTTTAATGTCCACTTGACACTAACTAGGTCATTTTGAGACTAACATATGGTTCAATTTTATTTCAATAATTTTTTAGCAATGGGAGGAAACCAGAGGACTCCCAGAAAACCCTCGAGGTTGGACAGGCGATCCTACTTGTGCTGAATACTAGGACATTCAACCCCATTTCATTTTATGAACTCTGCTGAGGCACATCATCATGGGCCCCAATTTCATGAGCAGCACTGCTTTGGATTTGCCCAATAATCCGATTTGTGTAAACATTAATTTGTCCATCAAGAAGAAAGTTATGGATAAGATCTTATCATCCGTCTGATCAGAGTCTGGTTTCTATGTGATGATATAATCGTGATTATGTAAGATGATGAAGTTTGATCATGATGATATCATGAGGATCGGTTCATATGGAGACATCATTTTACAAACATCAAACGCCATACATTCAGATCTGATGGGTTGTAAATAATTCTCAGCCATAAAAACATTCTTGAAATTTAATGTGAATTTTAATCAGAATATCTCCAGGAAATACGACTATATGGTATAGATAGGTCTGTAAATTTTAATCTGAATATCCGTGAAATACGACTTGAATAAATAGTATAATGACAATATCTTGGAATGTAAGAAGTACGTCTTAAATATATTGTATAATCATAATAGATTGCATAAACAAACAACATACAAGGTTATATGAATTATATAGACTGAATGTATGTGATAAGAGACAAAAAAACAATATATAGAAGAAGGGATTTAAGGTTCACACGACACAAGCTAGGTCATTTCGGGACTAACACATTATTCAATTTTATTTCAATAATTCGCTTGCGCGTAGGTGTCGCCCCACTCCTTGTCATGTACAACCGGGGAATAGAAACCACGTCAGTTGACCCAATGACAAACCTTCTCATCCAGCACGCACGTGCTAACCATTCGGCCGTCCAACCCCCCAGTAGAAGAAAAAGAAGCTTTAATGCATAAAAAAAAACTTATAAGGTTATGTACATATATGTATAATTAACTATACGTGAAACAAACATACATACATACAGGTACACAGAGATACAAACTTACAATGACAAAAATGATTCATATACAAAAGCTCCTAGACATAGTAATATTTCTATATTTTTATTCATCATGAGTATTTTAAATTGATGGGAATCGTTCAATTCATCGAATCTTGTCCGTCCGTCTGTCTGTCCGTCACACTTTTTGGGACACAATAACTCTCTTCCTAATTGAGCTAGAATGTTCAAACTTGGTGTATGTGTTTATTAGGTCAATGCCTTGATGGAGTTCGAAGATGAGCATTTTCCGCTTAGGGTAAGCAGAGATAAGCAATTTGATTGGTTGATGCTTTGGGACACGATAACTCTCTTCCTAATTGGGCTAGAATGTTCAAACTTGGTGTATGTGTTGATTAGGTCAATGCCTTGATGGAGTTCGAAGATGAGCATTTTCCGCTTAGGGTAAGCAGAGATAAGCAATTTGATTGGTTGATGCTTTGGGACACGATAACTTTTAATTGAGCTAGAATGTTCAAACTTGGTGTATGTGTTTATTAGGTCAATGCCTTGATGGAGTTCGAAGATGAGCATTTTCCGCTTAGGGTAAGCAGAGATAAGCAATTTGATTGGTTGATACTTTGGGGCACGATAACTCTCTTCCTAATTGAGCTAGAATGTTCAAACTTGGTGTATGTGTTGATTAGGTCAATGCCTTGATGGAGTTCGAAGATGAGCATTTTCCGCTTAGGGTAAGCAGAGATAAGCAATTTGATTGGTTGATGCTTTGGGACACGATAACTTTAGTTCTAATTAAGTGAGATTGATGAAACTTGGTGTATAGTTTCATTACAGTAATACCTTGACTAAGTTTGATAATGAGCATTTTCTGCTCAGGGTAAGCAGAGCGATACGCAATTTGATTGGTCGAGACTTTGGAAAACAATAACTCTCCTACGATTGTTCAATACTTTTTAAAAGATAATTTGTGATAAATTTATATGTGTCCTCTAATTATTTTCCTATTTCGGCGGGGGACATCAGCCTCACTGTTGGCTTGTTTTTCTTCTTTCTGTATGTTTTTGCCAGATGTTAAAACATAAATGTCATTCTCTACCTCCTGGCTACAATTTCAATATGACATACATTAAAGGTACACACATAGATATACAAGATATGTTTGATTTGGGGAAGGGGGGAGGGGCACAGGTTTTGGTGCCTGAATTAATTTTTGTAATATTAAACATGATCCATGAGACACAAATGGCTGTTTATTAAAAGACCCAGTTGAACAAATAAATAAACAGGTTTGACTTGAGCATTGGTTATTTAAACATACATTATGCAAGAGCTAAATCTGCCTATTGCAGGTCTTTCTTTAGGCCTGAAAGGTTTTCTAAATTATTAATTAGACATTAATTAACTTATCCAGACCATAATCACCTCTCGGTATCATCGCTAGCTAGGATCTCTCATAATATATTTTTAAGTAAAAAATAAATTGAGGACGAGTTTGGAGGGGAGTTGTCCCCTAAATATGCTTTAGTAATTAAGAAGAAGAAGAAGAAATCTCTTTGTCATTGGAAGGAAGCCAAAGTTTCTGAGTCTGTCTAAGTTACTGTAAATCATGACCCTAAATCATCATGAATGATGTCCACCTTTCTAACTGTTGAAGACAGACGCACGCATGTGTTGTATGTGTGTGTGTGTGTGCATCACGTGTTCTGTGTTTGTACGCCTGTGTGTTAAATTAGTTTGTAGTTTTACTACTGTCGGGTGTTTGATGTGAACACATGGACTGTCAAATTTATGTCTTGATATCATCAATTCTTCACAAGAAACATTTCACCACCTCCACAGGTCAAAATGGACTCAGCTCAAATTTCATTCCACTCCTTCAAAGGCAATGATGACTCTGAACATACACTATGACCCCTGCTGCTCAGAGGTCAAAGTATATTAGGAATTAATGGTACCAGGAAATTTGTCATCCATTTAAAATTGTAAATTAAGCAGACTTTTTTTTACTAAAAACGAAAGATAGATTTAGTGAATTAAATGATTCCATAATTACAAATAAATCAGTACATATTTTTATATTTTGAAAAAATTATTTTTTAGTCCTACTTACTCTTTCCAGACGATCTCAAAACACATTTTGTAATTTGTGAAAAATGATTCCATATTCTGAAATAAATTAATCATGTACAAGCTAGGAATCATAACCATTCCTCTTAACTCAATGACAGACCTTATGATCTAAGAGCATCAGTTAGATTCCCCCCACCCCTCCTTTATTTATAAGTCATCCTTGCACATTCTAGGACATCGGAAATGAAATGAAATGGGGTCCTACTGTTCTGCTCCTATACTGGGCTAATGAAGACGGGCATACGCATTACAGTGTGCTATGAGGGAAATTTTGCCCGGGTAACGGCACTATCACCTACTCTTATATGTATATACGGGACCTCGATTTTTCTTATCATCGGAAGGACTAGACAGCTGTCCTTGTTAGACACTCCGTCCTGCATCACTGACAAGGGGGAACCACACCAGAAAATCTGGATGAACTTTCTCGGCCAATGTAGGGATCGAACACCCGACCTCCAAGCTAGCGAGCCAGCGTCTTACCCACTTAGCCTCGTGATCCCCTCTAGGACATCGGATAATGAATGTACTTGTGTGTTATATGTTAGCCTATAATAGTATGGTGGATACTAAAATTTGTTATCAAGAAAAAAGTTTCCAATATTCGATTTGTACCTATTTTAAACAAAAATTTAATATTAAACAAACAAACAAAATATAAAAAATATAATAATATTAATATTAAAAAACTACCTGGTAAAAAAAAAAAACCCCAACAAAAATAAAATTAAAAAAAAAAAAAAAAAAAATTAAAAAAAAATACCTGGTGAAATTTGTGTATGTTGAGCTTGTCTCTAATCAGATATACCTGTAGGTGGATGGATGCTTTAGATAAATACAGATTTTCATCACTTTATTTTATAAGCGTTGTCACGTCAACCAGCTGAAAAAATATAAGATAAAAAGTTTTTGCATGTTGTAAGGGAGCACCCTCCATGTTGTTTTAATGCCTGATTTCTGTTCGGTTAAATGTGTGTGGGAACTCAAAAAACAAATTAAAAATTGTATCAGATGTTCTATGCAGGATGCCGGGGCTATATTATTTATACAAAAATACAACAAAAATGTTAACTATGTGAACTCCTCAAATTTGAAAGTGGTATCAGGTGTTATAAAAAGTGTAAGCATACCCTGCTTTTTGTACAACACCTATCAATATTTATAGTAGTATGTGCAGGGGGACAGCACTACAGACAAAACAAAACCAAAAAGACAAACCTGCGGATAAGACAATCTACACAGACATTGCAAGAAATAAACAACAAATATCTAATCAAGTGAATGGATCCGTGGGGCCAGTCGTAAACGTCCACTGCACTGTACCATTCTGGGCCTGTAACGGTACAGGCTTCATTCAAAAAATAAAAAACACGATTGCAGTGAGGAATTTATTTTGACTTATTTGAACAATTCTACATGTAGCTAATCCTTAGAATGAGAAATGACACCAGATGTTCTAGAAATAATAAGCATACCTCACCACATACCACCATGGACTTACCACAAAATCTGCTTCTAGAATCAATACAAAACTCTTTGTCAAACTTCATGCTGTAGATTTAGTCTGTGTTTTCTAACTTCGCTTACAAATCCCCTAACGATTTCACTAATTATGATCATGCAGAGTATGCTTCCTGCTGTTTAACATTGTTTTTTTTGGTTTTTTTCAGCTCTGGACAAACTTGGCTTTAACCACGTATTTAACCTAGGTATGCAAGTAGAAGTTGTACAACCTAATATAGTATTTGACATCGCTAGTCTGATGCTCTATGGATCACACGCTACCCCCGTTCGTCTAAAGATCCTTCTCGATCGTTTATTTAGTGTCCTACAACATGATGAAGTTTTACAAGTTCTCCACGGGTTTGGATGGAAATACGAGGACTACGCACGAGGTTATATTTTACAGGTTAGTTCGATAAACTTTTTCTATTTCCAGAAATGAACTGAATTGAAATGGGGTTTAACATGTCAGCATATTATATGTTATGGTGGTGTCCATATTATCACATTCCTGCCATGACAGCATATTATATGTTATGGTGGTGTTCATATTATCACATTCCTGCCATGTCAGCATATTATATGTTATGGTGGTGTCCATATTATAACATTCCTGCCATGTCAGCATATTATATGTTATGGTGGTGTCCATATTATCAAATTCGTGCCATGTCAGCATATTATATGTTATGGTTTTGTCCATATTATCAAATTCCTGCCATTATAAGCTAATGGTGGTGTCCATATCAAATTTCTGCCAATATATTTTATGGTGGTGTCCATATTATCAAATTTCTGCCATGTCAGCATATTATTAGTTATGGTTTTGTCCATATTATCACATTCCTGGCATATCAACATTTTATATGTTATGGTGGTGTCCATGTTATCAAATTCCTGGCATGTCAGTATATTACAAGTTATGCATACCATATAATCATAAAACAGCAAGACACAAGTTTTTTTTCAAGCTGTATAGAAGTAGTAACAAGTGTTATTAATATGAGATACATCAGGAATGTTTCCCTCATTTAAGAATTTTAATTAGTTTAAAAGTTGATGTTCGTTGATATTTGTGGCATCGTGACAATATGGATGCATAAGAACAAGTTTAAAGAACTACTGAATTTATTGTTGTACTTAAAAAAGATAATCAAACCGATGGTGAAGCTGATGTCCCCCCCCCCCCCCACCACCGCCCCCTCCTTAATTCTTATATAAATGGATGACATTCATAAATCATGGGAGGTTTGGTGGCCGAATGGTTAGCGTGTGCGTGTTGGATCATAAGGTCTGTCATTGAGTCAATTGGCATAGTTTAGATTACCCAGTTGTACATGACATGGAGTAGAGTCAACTGTTCAAACTCGTGGGTTTTCTTCGAGTCCTCTGGTTTCCTCCCACTGCTAAAGACCCTTACACACAAACGAATTATTGAAATAAAATTGAACCATATGTTATTCCTGAAATGACCTAGTTTATGTCGAGTGGACGTAAAACCCAATTTCTATCTTTTTATAAAGTGTCGAGCAATCAAATTGCTTATCACTTTGCTTAATCAAATCAGAAAATGCACATCACCGAACTTATTTGAGAGGTTGATGTTACAAATCTATACTTTGGGTTTCTAAAAGTTATGTTCCAAAGAATCGACAAATCAATTTGCTTATCTTTGGTTAGCGTAAGCAGAAAATTCTCATCATCGAACTCAGTCAAGTTAATCACAAAGACTGAAACTTCTACCTCAATTAGAAACAAAGGTATTGTGTCCGGCAGACAGACATACGGATGGAACAAATTTAATAGTCTCCTGCTTTTTTTTTAAAGGCAGGAGACAACAATATTACTTCTGGAATCCAAGTTTAAATGACCGCTTCATTAAGCCACCTTGCTCCCCATTCAACTCCCCGCCATGTTACTCTTTCATCTCTCTTCATTTCATTACCTTTCTACGCTTCGAGACATTTGACAAAAAATTATCATCAATTATAATTCACCTTAAAGAAGATTTTTTTAATTTTTTGAAAAAAGCTTGAAATTAATGTTATTAGCATATGTATGCACTGACTGTTCAAAATCTGTTTTATGTAAACGAAAATAGAAAGAAAGTCAAGAACATGAATTATTTAAATATACACTATTGGAGATTAGATAAAGAGTTGGCAGTTCTCACTGTAATAGGTAAAAAATAGATAATGTAAACGCAATTTGCTGAAAATTTAAGTCAAATTGTTCCACTATGAACCGAGATTTTAGCGATTGAATATTGGAGCTAGCCTTGATCATCATTACTAAAGTCGGTAGGATAAAAAACATAGTCTTGATTATCCATTTAATTATGAACGGAAGTCGAACAGCAAATCATAACGTAATCCAATAAAAATCGCAGGCTAGCGATGCCATCTAGAGTTGATTATGGTCTGGATAAGTTAATTAATGTCTAATTAATAATTTAGATAACATTTCAGGCCTAAAAAAAGACCTGCAATAGGCAGATTTAGCTGCTGTGGGGTGTATGTTTTGTTGCCTGGCAACCTATTTTTCTTTCGTACAAAACTAGAAATCTAAAATACCTGAGAAAAAAAAAATTTGTTTAATTTCGCAGGTATATAGGAAACAAGACAGATATACGTATGTTTAACATAAACTTTAAAGGTGAAATTAGAATTCCTCCGATGTTACCGTATTATGGTAGTCCCCTTGTGAATCATTTACGCTGCAGGCAAAACGGGGAAAATGAGGTGTTGCAATATGTTTTCATTCTGTCCTCTCATCTGTATATATATATCCCATGGTGCAACAGTCATGTTCGTATAATAAATAACGCGTCTGTTAAAAAGTTTGTGTAAAGATAACAAACTCACATGTCTTGTGTTAGACGATCATCAGCCATGTTTTAAAAATGATCACCTGGAGGTGTACAAAAAAAAAAAAAACGTTTACAAAATTCTTGAAATTTGTTCATTTTTCATGTGTATAAAACATGGAACACAGGTATACAGGATTCAGGGGTTTTCAATCCATTAAAAATTTTCTTGATAAGTATCTTCAACTTGTAAAAATGATGTCTGGACTGGAGCTCGATTTAGGCAATACCAATTTGAATTTTCATTTTTTGTAAACAACCATTTAAACTAAGATTCCTATTTCTATGGGGAAAAACAGACTTTTTTCATTTTTGTAATTTTAAGCAAAACTTTGTACAGAAGATGAGAGTACCTATTTATTTATGAAGACACTGAAATGACTAAAAATTAGCTACATTTTAACTGCATGAAACTAACCAGAAGAAGTTTCCCTCATCAGTAAGATAATAACTACAAATGGTCTTAGGGGACAGAATGTGAAATTTGGGGATTAACCATTATGTTAGTCCCAAAATAACTTGTTTGTGTTGAGTGGATGTTAAACTCTCTCTCTCTCCCTCTCTCTCTCTCTCTCTCTCTCTCTGAAATGAGGGGTTAAAGTCTGGACTACATTTTCATATATTTCCATCCCAAACGGTATTAGGGGACAGAACTTAAAATTTGGGAATTAACCATATGTTAGTCCTAAAATGACTGTTTGAGTTGAGTGGATGTTAAACCCCATCCCTCCTCTCTCTCTCTCTCTCTCCTCTCCTCTCTCTCTGAAATGAGGGGTTGAAGTCTGGAATGCATTTTCATATATTTCTATCCCAAAGTCCATGTTTGCAATCAAGATATTTTCTACTGAAAAAAAAAGTCCATATTTTAGAATAACCAAATCAAATTTCGAAACAAGACAGTTGGCATTATTTTATTCCTCCCAACAATATCTTTAAATCAGATGAGCTGATTACTACGCTCTGTGTTTTTATTTACCGAATTACGTGTTCATGACAAACATATTACACAAAATATGAATTATGAATGATGAAAGGCAATCTACGTTTGTTGGGTATTTTAGAATTAGAACGTGGAGCATGTCTTACTGCATGCTGGGAAGACATCTATCATCGTAAGATACACTCCTAGAAAATATTATCATATATTTCCTTTCAACTGACATTTTGTGAAGTTATATAAAACTAGAATAATATAAAAATATCAGAATAAACATGGTGGAGAGATGACATTTATATATCTGCAATACAAGTGCATGATGAGTTTTATTAAACTTGGCCCGTCTTCATTAGCCCATTTGGTGCAGAAAAGTAGGATATTAAACCCCATTTAATTTCATTTCTTAAACTTGGACGGATTTAGATGAAATAAGAGGCCCATGGCTATTCCACTAATGAGGCCCTCCGTCAGGACTAGATGAAGATAAAAGTGTGTTATAAACACAATTGAGTGAAGTCAAGGATGATGACGAGTGTTTAAGACTGCAATATGTGTAAAAAAAGGGATTATGACAGTGTCAAAAATATTATACTATTTTATAAACCTTGGACTGGTGGGGGGGGGGGTGACATTAGATATTGAGGTTCTAGGCTTCAGCCTGCCAAATCCACCACTGTTAAACTCTATTTGAGGAGAGTTTCATAGTTAACGGTGTTTCAAACCTTTTGTTTTTACTCCTGGTTCTCCAGTTTACTGATCACAAATGAAATATTGAAATAGAAAATAACCCCTTAGCCCTGTAATCATTTGGGTTCTTTTTGGGTTAATTATCATGACAGCGGTAACAATGACAAGACTATAGTGAGTTTAAAATAAGGTTTTTCTCGGCTTAGAGTGAAGCGATTGGACTGAAATTGTCAGCATATTCCCTTTACATTATCTAGTTTTGAACTATCATAGTGAGAACTGCTAGCTCTTTATTTAATCGTCCATAATGTATCTTTAATTAAGACTATTATTTATTACGACCAAAGTGTCTAGTTTTGCGGATAGGGCCAATATGACAAATTAATTTTGCAATTAAGGAAATCTTTTATCAGTTTTAAGAATAGAAAATTAAAACTATTTTGTGTTAATCCCAAACTTATAACGTTAATGAGGCGCCAAAAGACGTTTTTATCTTTTTCTTTCATTTGTGAATAAAAAGTATAATTTGTGACCTGCAATGTTACCATACAGTAGTACAATGATTGGAACCTAGGGTGTAAATGTGATGATGAATTTTCTATCTTGTTAATGATTCGGCTCTCGACAAAACCAGAAAAACTTGGCACCAGAATTATTTTACTTAGAAATGTGAGACGAAATGTAACGAAACAATATGACTGAACATTGACAAACTAGTAACATCAGACAGCACGGCCATTAAAAGAACTTTCTCACTCAAGTCGATCGAGCAATCTGTTAGTCATTTTTAGTCACCTTGTTTAAAAAGATCTCCAATTCTTGACTCCAGTTTATTTAGTTTGAAATATAAACACATTATAAAAAGGCTTAGGTTACCATGTCCATAAATATTTATTTTGAAAAAATTATGATTTAT